ATGTCCCTAAACAGTTCAAAATAAATCAAAATATTTTGAAAATGTTATCGTGTATAGAAAATGCAAATATAAACAACCAGTGAAAATTTCATGTATCTACGGTCATTTGTTTTAAAGTCACACCAAAAACCAAATTCAATTTTCTGAAAAATCGATTTTGCGTAAAAATTCCAGTTTTTCCTTCATTTTTCTTTTATTTTTCTTGGCGCTTTTGAAAAGTACTGGGAATTTTAACCTCCCCAATGCACCAACGATATTCACTTTCCAATCGAACAAGATACTGAAGTCGAAAATCGAAGCATTATTTCGACTACTTATCAGTTATCGTGTACACAGAGACAAAAAAAATAAAAAAACACACATCATTGTAAAATCAATACATTCATCGTTCCACTCAGAATCTAAAATTAAGACTACTGGAGAGTGGAGGTGGTAGGTACCTATCCACTTTCATTTGTAAGCCCGGTGCCTGTTTTTCAAATTGTCCACAATTCTATTAAACATGAAAATTATACTTACATTTTAGTAGCCATATTAAGAGTGTGCAATAGTAAAAGTGTTGTGTATAGGTACAACACTCCAGAGATGGAGTTGTACGCCGTATCGCCGCCGTCGCGACTGTCTCCGTGGCGGACCTAAGCGGCTAAATTTTAGATTCTGAGTAGAACGATGAATATAATGATTTTACAATGATGTGTGTTATTTTTTTATTTTTGTGTCGGTGATCACGGTTTGGGGCAGTACAACTGCTTCGATTTTCTTCAACAGTATCTTGTCTGATGGGAAAATGAAGCTAGTTGATGCATTCAGGAGATTCAATTTTAAAATTTCCAATAGTTTTCAAAAGCGCCGGGAAAAACAACATAAAAATTAAGGAAAAACGGGAATTTTTAAGCAAAATCGGTTTTCCAAAAAATCGATTTGGTTTTTGGTTTAACTCTAAAACAAATGAACGTATATACATGCAATTTTCACTGGTTGTTTAGATTTGCATTTTCTATACATGAAAATATTTTCAAAATATTATGATTTGTTTTGAACTGTTTAGAAACATTTTTAGTTTTCAATTTTATTAGACTTTTTTTCTATGAATGTCAATAAAACTTTTATTGTTGACTAAAAATACTTGAAAATTTAATACGAAGTTCCTATATACCCTATTGTTACAATAACAAAAATATTAAACATCCTTAGTCACAGTTTTTTTTTATTAGCATTTAAAGTTAAAAAATTAACAAATAATTCTTTTCAACTAACCTATACTCACTGAACTGTATAAGTTAAGCGCATCTACTGCCTGATACTTATATGGGGTGGGAAGGGGTTGATGCGGTGTATTATATTGGAAAAATGATTTCATAGGAAAAGTTCTCAGGCTTTGTAAAATTGTCTTGTAAGATTGTCCAATTTGGCTTCAGAAAAAATATGGGAACAGAGGCAATACCTACTGGCATTGAGAATAATTATTGAGAAAAGGATTAGGAAGGATATGCAAACATTCATAGCTTATGTGGACATCGAAAAAGCATTTGATAATGTGATCTGGACGTTAATGTTTAATATGATGACAAGAGTGGGGATAAGAAGACAGGAAACTGCTGTATAAATTATACAAAAATGAGTTAGCCGTTGTAAAAATCCAAGATAACGTAGAAGAAGCAAAAATAAATAAAGTTGGACAAGGATACACCCTATCCCCAATTATATTCAACGCATATTTATTTGTTTTTATTTAATAAGCAATAGAAAAGATAAAAGAGACTACCAATCTAGGGATAAAAATTAAGGGTCAAAAAATAAGTATGTTGCGCAATCTGGAGTAGCTAATTAAAACTATGGATGAAATATTCATCAGGGACTTGCATATGAAAATAAATGTGCAAAAAACAAAAGTACTCGTTTGTGGAAGGGATAATGAAACCAGAATACAAATAAATCTACGAGGAAACCAAACAGTAAAACAAGTAAATTAGTTTGCATATTTGGGGAGCACCATCAACGATGATGGAAGAAATAGGAGCGAAATAACAAACGCATTTTTCAACTGTCAAGCTAAAATAGCTTTTAACAACAAGAAAACTCTACTTGCATCAAGAAACATTATCCTAAAAACAAGGAAATAGTTTATTGTGTGGCAAGGGCGGGAAGTGAGCTATTTTAGTCGAGGGCAACGTGTGCGGCATGAGATTTTATTTGGGCTATTAGGTACTTATTAGACTATTAAAGTTTAAGGCACGGTGCCACGGTCTTAGAAGATATCTTTTAAGACCGTGGTTTAAAGTGTCCATACGGCAATTTGTTTTCTAATTACAACAAAATAAGAATATCGTCCTATGAGCCATCGGGTGAATATTTATTGTCGTAAAAATTTGAACTTTCAAGAAAACTTTCATTTTTTGTTAATGGTCGGAAAGTGTACTGTAGGTCGTATTATTTTCAAAACTTAGATTAAAATAGAACATTTTTTATGAATTATGTACTAACTCAAAACCATTTTCAAATCATTTTCATGTTTTTGACGAGTTTGATGAACTTCAGATGCTCATAAAAAAATTTTTTATTTAGGTAAGCTCAATTTTTTTAGAAGGACAAGTCTTAACAACAAAAACTCATGAGGAACCTTGTATTATATATTTTCAAGTTATTTGATAGTGGTAAAATAAAAATTAATGTAAATTTCTTATGCTTATAAAATAGGTACCTATATTATATTTATACGTCTCTGGCGGGCGTCGTCCTTCAATAATTAATATTTATTCCTGTTTCTCCTATTATAGTACCTGTAGTAGGTACACTCGCAGACACGTTCATGTGCATTTATTTATTTTATTTTGATTTTTACAAAATTGTTTTACTTAATATACCTATAGGTACCACTATATAGTGGTGTTTCTGAATTTCAGGTGGAAAAACGCTGAGGGTTTTCGAAACAGTAAAGGGTTATGCCTTGGGTATTTTTCTTTGGACATTCAGCCGATATACAATGCTAATCTATAAATAATAGATATAGTTGCAAGACATAATGAAAACACTCATGACTCCAGAATATTTAGATACCTAATTATAAATTTTACGTCTTTACGGTGATGCACTAGCTACTAGTAGGACACTGCAGTGGCTATGCATCTGCTATTCGCTGCTAGTTACATGATGACACCACTTCAAGTATGTCATACACTGATACACCACCGAAAACTTTATATATACTGAGTCCGAGAGTTACATATTATAAGGACAAGAAATGACGTTGAAAGATTTTTAGGTATTTGAAAAAGACGTTTTCCCGTAATGGCACTGGGTTTACGAGTAAAACTTATGCACGTTTTCCCTGTGGGCTGTGTTCTTGAAATGAGACTTCCTGCTCCTAACCTAATCTTAGGATGACATGCCAGTTATGAACTGATTATGTCCCAAACCCTACGTTGTGAAGGGTAACACTACATAATAGTCAACGGCAGACGATAAGCAGTAACTTTGGAGAGGTAACTAATCGAAGAATATAATATAATTATAAATAACATATTGAATATAAAATAGCAGTATTGTAAAAAATACTTTTAAAATGTATTTAAATACAGATAAAAATACATCTGTTCAGACATTTTTCATTACTTTTAAGAAATAAATATTTAAGAAGAAATACAAATACTTTTGTTTAATACTGTTGATATAATTTTCTGATTTTTTTGGTTACAGTGTGAAAAACTTGAGTGAAAATTTGTTTTACATTTTAATCTTTAGCTATAAAAATTGAAAATGTTATATATTATTAGCTAATAGCTACAAATAAATTTTCATTTTCTGTGGTTCTGATTTCGTGTATTCTTTGGTCACAGATTAGATTATAGTAATGGTATAGGTGGGTAGATGAGGTAAAAGCATGCATCAAATTATCACATTTATGGCCTCAAATAAATACATTTTATCTTAAAACAATTGATATGAGAGTTGAATACTTGAATGTTTGTTTGTACCCCTGATATAGGTAAGTACTCTACTTAACCGATTTTGATGAAAATGTCAAATTGTTCTTAGAGATATCAGGATAATTTAGAGAGAAGTTTGAACCACGTTAAAAAATATCCAATATTCCAATCTACCATAGCCAAATTGTCTATCTTGGTCGAATTAATTCATAAAGCAAGGTACATTGACGCTAATTTGCCTATGAAATGAGATACATATATAGCTCTACATTTTATATTTTTCACGTCAGGTCGCCTGTAAGTGTGAAAATTAAATGTAATTTATATGCAGCATACAGAACACTAATAAGAAATAGCCAGTTACCAGTAACGTATCTGCTAATAAATGGCAACTATGTACTTAAAGTCTAAATAGCTTAATAGTTGAATTTTATAATTGTATTTTTTTTTTCTATATAAAGTGGATCATTTTCTGTTTTAATACATTGATAACTTCCAAAGATGGTCTATTCCTAATCAAATCCTTTTTAAATATATCACTTCTCGCGATTTTTTAAATTATAAATGTGATAATCCTGGAGAACCCTATGAACTTTTAGTTTGTTTTTGAAATCTAGTTTCTCTTGAAAAGTGAAGACAGAAATTGACATTAATTTTTTAGATTAAGTATAGTATTAAATGGTCTAATTGAGTCAGGAGTCAGGACAATTTCATCAAAAACTATATTAAACTTCTTTAAATTTATTATTTTAGTCCAGGCTTGTAATTTGTTTTAGATGTGATAGTATTTCAAATTTCTATACCATTCTATCATATGTAAGTCTACAATTTTAACATAATGTTAATTGTTTGTACAACCTATAGATATCTACTTTAGTTTTGAAGATTAGAGTACATCTATTTACTATGATACATAGATACATATCCAAATTTAAAGAAAATTAACTTAGTTTTAATAGATAAAGTAATGCAGAAAAATAAATATAATATGTTGAAAATAAAATACAAACATAATATGGTGAAATTAATTTTATTTAGTCAAAACGAAAAGTTCAGTTCAATAACAACATTTTATCAACCAAGAATTCCATTCATTTTCATGTAGTCCATGTCATACACTTTCAAGTAATGTAAACAGACAATTGCAGAACCCTGCTCTGCCCATCTTTTATTTTTTTCCCTGAAAAGCACAATTAATATACTATCAAATTTCCCTTTATTCACAAATTAGTATTTACCAAAAGGAAGATGAATATTTTTGATCGTCAAATGTCACTGTACTCTTGAAAAGTTTTTCAAATTGTTCCGTATGATATTTTGGTAATGGCTTATTGTGTTTTTTTGCCCAATTTAACAGTTTTGTTTTTGGCAAGTCTTCAGGTCTTGGGTATAATGATCGTATATACATACATTTTAAACTATTACCATAATTTGATTCTTCTTCGTCAGCAGAATTCAGTTTAATTCGTTTTTGGTCATTACACACAACATCTCTTTCTTCAAAACGAAGATAGTTCATTTTCTTTTGTTTTTGACGACAGTAATCACCTAATTCCCAAAGGTCACTAAAAATTCAAAATTATAAATTCACAAGTGCCTATTAATTTATTTTAATTTATTAGGATCGGTTCACATTAGTACAGAATTGTCAAGCAGCTAAGTTAAAATAAATCAAAATTTAAAGACTAAAGATTTGAGTGGGCTATGTAAAACATTAAACATAAAAATCAAGTGAAAAAGTTCAGTTAGAGTCTTATATTATTATAGAATAGCCATTTATGTAAATTGAATACATATATGATCTATGAGATATATATATCTCAAAAGGACAACTGTATAACAAGTAAACATAAATAAATTTAGACAAAACTGACTACAGTCATAAAGTATAAACTGTACTAATGAGAACCTGCCTTTAACAAACCAAATTTGTTGTAAGGATGTAGACTCCAGAAAAAGTCTCCCCTGCTCCGTTTCTTGAATATTTTGAAGCATATTTTGAATACAGTATTTTGTATTTGGAGCAACATTATCATAGTCAACAGCATGGCGTAGGTAATCTCTTATTATAGTAAATAATTCTAATTTCCCATCTCGTTTAAATATAGAACAATTTTTTTCAGCTGTACGTGCTATCATAACACTTGAGCAACCAGTTATGTTTTTGAACTTTATTATATCTTCAAATTCTTTAATTTCTTTTGACCCACCACTACAACAAAATATAAAATCACATCAATAAACATTATTTTTTAAAATCATAAATACATAATATAAAGTGCCTCAAGCTTTCATCTTATTGGAATTCTTACAACCCCCTCACTTATCATATATACCCACAACCTTAAAATAATAGCTAGAGCATGAATTTAGATGATCAAAATATGTGTTATAAAACTCTAAATATGTAATACGCTAATGTGATTTATTTATTAAATATTTAACATGTTAAAACTATGCTCTTATGACCTGACCTACAGTATCTTAAAAATACATTGATATAAATTTATTATTATTAATATTTAAAAATAAATTAATGATTTTGATTACACAAATGAAACATATTTTGTAGCTTTTCCAGACTTAGATGATCATATTTTTGGCATGATTCGAGATTAATTATAAGAAATAAATAATTAACTTTTCTATTCAACGCGGATACAAAACGAACAAACCGAGACTAAACCAAGAAATATGCACTATGGCTGGAAATTGAAAATAAATATTAATAAGTTGACAAATATAATAGTATATATTATACTCTATTCAGAATAACGTTGCCCACTTTTGCGTTTTCAACTGAGCTGCCGGAAGGGTCCAACCCCCAACTAAGCAATGTTAGGTACTTGAACTAATAACAATTAAAATTAGAGCAAGGACTTGTGCATTTGTATTATTTTTGCTGGTAAGTTAAGCCATTACCTTAAGTAAGCAAAAATGTAATATGATTTACAACATTTCACCATCATTTTTAGACTTTAGCGCATAAATTGCAGATTCGAACATTTTGTGGCCTATAGGGGCATATGTTGGATTTTTAGGTCATACACTTCAGTGTCTTACTGTTTTAGTATTTAGTTTATACATAGATAGTTTGTAGAAAAATTTGACAAATATTTCCCACAAATTAAAGTAAAAAATATTTTGATCCAATTATGAGATTGTCATAAAGTTGATTAAGACCAAATGTTTATAACTAATAAGTAATTTAGATTGAAGTATATTATAACTAGAAAGTGCAACAGAAACATACACTTTATCTAATATCTAAAATCTAAATTTGTCTAATTTAAGTATTTGATGCGAGTAATAAGTGGACAACGTAGATGATGTTTCATACTATAATAAATTGTAGTTTATTTTTATTTTTAGTCAATTTCGAGAATTTTGAAAGAATGTAAGTCTTTGCTCTACGTTTGATACAACCTGTGTTTAATAACCCATAATATTATATTTACATTACTAATATAATATATATATCATTATTAACTTTGCAATAACTGGAATATCTAATGCTTCAGATATAGCTTTAATGAAATGGTTTCTATTTGAATGCATTGGTCTCTCATTAATGGTACGACCATGTACACAGATCGCAGCCACTCCAGTAGCAGCTAATTTCTTACACAGAGCAACTGTATCATCAATATCTTGTAACACGCGAATCTTGCACGTCACTGGTATTTTAACAGCTGAAACCACTGCAGAAAGAATTGCACAAGCCTTGTCAGGATGAAACAAAAGAGCTGCTCCCATTCCTCCTTTGAGTGAGAAGTCTTTTGGGCAACCCATATTTATGTCAATCCCTGCTACATCTTGTTCCCTAATGATAATGATTAAAATAGTAATTAAATTTACCATTTATGGTTAAAATTGTACTTACACTACTTGTGCAGCCTTAGCTGCTCGTTCAGGATCACTAGTGCCAATTTGAAGAACAACATTGTGTTTTTCACGTGAGCAAGTGCGGAATACCACAGTAGCATCACTTTTGTCAATAAAATCAACACTTTCTAATGTATCTAAAATAGGTATATTAGTTGTCTCTCATGTGATTAACAATTTTAATTTTAAATTACCATTTACTTTTCGATAACATCTAATCAGCCTATGATCGATCAGTTCTTCTGTGTATACGATATCCGCTCCGTAATCCAACGCCAATAAACGCATTGGTAGCGTGTTTATCCTGACCATGGGTGCTAGTATAATTTTGTTGTCGTAACATAATCGTTTAATGTTTTCCATACAGACCATTGATCAACTATCCTCAGTCCAAAATAACAATATTTTTTAATGAAAAAATAATTATTTCTTTTGATTAACTTAAAATGAAGAATTTAAAGTAATAATAAGTTCAACTTTGGTTGCATAATTTATATTTTATCAAAAGAATGCAAAAAAAAATTAAATACTGATTACTGTTTACAAGACGATCTACAACATAGAAATCTCAGTGTTACTAAATTTTGAATTTACAAATTACAATTTGCAGTTTGCACTAAGGTATTCGTAAATTACTAATTATAAAAAAATAGTAACTACTAAGTAGATAGTATTATCTATAAACCTTTATTATTCTAAACGAGTGTGAAGTTGGGTGACCAAAGCTAGGTGACCAATTTTTGGTGATAAGAAAACTTGTATGCTCGGTTGCATTACGGTATTTTCTAGGCGCACAACGTTTATATTGCCGTTTGTATGTTCTACTTCTATTTCTAACCACAAGATAACAGTAAAGGATTCTTCACGAAATATTATAAGGTCACCTACCCATCATAATATTATAAAATGACGCCGCGAAGCCAGGACATAGCACTATACACGACACCCATACGACGCCTAACGTATACGCGCGCGTGGTTTTTGATTTTTCCGGCAGTGTTCCGGAAGGAGTCGAAGGACTTAACATATATATTCGGAAAGTCAGGAAAATTTACTATCCGACGAGATAAATTTCAAGAGCTCCCGGGCTTTTCAAGTAACCGTACTTAGTGCACGAAAGTTGAAACCTGGTCAAAAAAATTAAAAACGGCACTCCCGATCGTACCTAGGCAGTACGAAAAAATAGTCCCCTGGGCTGTTCGGTCGCATATTATTACTATGTCCCCGAAAGCTTTGAACATTTTTCAAAAATTTTCCTGGCTTTCCGAATATACAGGTTTAATGCGGCGCCACCTTCCGGAACTGCGTCAAAAAAATTAAAAACGGCACGCCCGATCGTACCTAGGCAGTACGAAAAAGAAGTCCCCTAGCTATAGTCCCCCAACTTCACACCATAGAGTAATATAGAGAGGATTTGGTAATGACGTAATGTTGAAGATGAAGGAGAATAACCAATGTTTTTTTATTTCTGATGAAATTTTTTATTTTTAATAACTTATTTTTGCAATCATTTAACACAATTTATCATCAATTAAACTTGTTATTAATTACACCCATTGTCTTTTTAAGAATTGCTAATTTATAAATATTTTTTAGTGATTTTATACCTTGTTATTTAATACATTTGTATTATGATATAATGATATATCAAATTGTGATTTGTTTTCTTATAATAAAGAGTTCTAGACTAACACATATGTATATTTTTGTGATTTGATTGTTACTTACACAGGATTTAGTCATTGCATTTGTGTACTCCATACTTTCTATTCAGTTTTGTGTAACTTGCTTCATAAGCAAAACTGATTAAATAATTTAGCATATCTTTTTGAATTTAGAATACCTACTTAAGATACATTTGATTTCAAGACATTATAGGCTGATAGACGATCTTCTCTCAGAATTGCAGTGGCGGACTGGGAGAAAAAAACAGCCCGGGAAGATCATAATTTTAGAGGCCTGAAGTATACTAACGGCCCTTTATATAATATACCACAACAAAAATCCTTCGTAAACTACGAGTAAAAATGGCTAAGTAAAAAAAAATATTAGATCTAGAAAGAAGAGAAAGATGTGATATCATGAATAAATGCTAAGTATATTGAATTTAAGTAAACTTATTTTTTCAATAATTTATTGAATTTATGGCGAAGGACTATTAAAATATAACTTATTATTATTTAAAAAATATTATTATTAATATTTATATACTATTCTAAATAATTCCTCGCCAAGTACCTAAATACATTATTGAAACAAAATAAGTTTACTTAAATTCAATATACTTAGTATTTATTCATGATATCACATCTTTATATTGCTTAAAGATCTTATATTTTTTTTTACTTGGCCATTTTTGCATGTAGTTTAAGAAGGGTTTTTGTTGTGATATCACTAATATTTAACATTATTAAATATTGAGTATTTACACAATAATCTATATAAGAACTGTAATATTGTTGGTAACAATGGCAACGCTGATGCGACGACGACGGCTACCGTGATTCTGAATTTAATGTAAATTTCCATTAAAAAGTTCGCACTTTTTCATCTATAACTTCATTTCTAAACGTACTACCTATTTAATATTTTGATGATTTTTACAAAAGCACGTTATACACAATATTTCTGATGTTTTGGAGTTTACTAGGAGTTAATTGATGCATAAGAAAATAGTTATGTCGTATAACAAATTTACCTGTATTTTACACAGTTTAAATAGGCAACTCCTGCTTCGATATACTATACACACACCTTCGTGCAGTTATTATTATTTTTTTTACTTAGCTCGCGCCACGACCGTGTCGGTGGATATAAATAATAATAGTCTTTAGAAAAATTAACGCTCTATTTTGTATTAAGTAAATCTCATATTGTACTTAATTGTTATTATTTGTATTTAAATTGAATGTCAAATTTAAGAGCCTCTCACCCAAGCTTTTGCTTATAGAAGGTGAGCAGACTTACTACTGTATTTATAATTTACAATATGTTGGGAATTGTTTGCAAATAAAATAAAATTGTTATTATTAACGCTCTTGAAATTCTAATGCTGCGGGCCGACGAGAACAATAAAAATACTAGCTGGCTAGTAACACACGCCGTCGTCTGGGAAATTTTCTCGGAGATCGGTCTATGTGTTGAACGATTTGTATTTAGCTCATTCTTGATTAAATCCAAACGCAAATATTATCTTCTTTCAAAAAATAAATTATGGCAACAAACTTTAACAACATCGACCGAGCCGCATAAACATAATATTACTGGAAATGGTGGAAGAAATTTTGGTCAACAAGATGGAACTAACTTTGGCCGATGAAACCGACGAATATCTCGTTGTCGTTCTTGTAGTCACTCCACTTCTGTCTACCATTGTTACGGTCGCCACTACAGCGACGTTCAGACCCTGGAGTCGGAGCCCGAAGGCTCGACTCTCGGAGGCGCAGACGGAGAGGAGTTGGCTGAAGACGTCGAGGAGACCGTCTCCCCGCACTGTGGCGGAGTGCCGAGCGGCGACGCGCTATCGTCTGCTGCAAAGTCGGAGCTCGGTCCTATCCCAGAGACAGCACCGCTCGGCGACGACGACGACACAGTAAGAGACGACGGAAATTCGAAGGTTTCTGAAGCAGAAGTGGAGGAAAGTTTGTGTCCAGAAGACGATGTATCGGATGAAAAAATCGAGACCGACTGGACGTTTACATTGTTGATGCACTCTAGCTAGGTTTCACCGGGAGAGTCGATGTTTCAGCGTAAGTTTGTTTTCATAATTTCATATTATTTTGGGATTTACGTTTTATTTTTAGGCATTTTTATAATTAAAACTGTAAATTATAATTTATATTATATATTTGTGATGTCTATACATTTGCGGACTAATTTGTTTGGTCAAATTTAGTATGCGATAAATAACTGAAATAGAAAACAAGAATACACTGCAGACCACAATCATTTCTGTAAAAGAACACACGATTTATCAATAGACCGTTTATTTATGGTTTATGTGCTGAGTGTAGAAGTTCTATGGATTTATCATATTAAGAAATATATTTTATATCATCTATGGTAATCGCCAATTGTCGACATTCGTCCGCGACGATTAACAATTCTAATAATTTTAGTGAAAAAAAAAATAATAAGCCATCAATATGGACAGATGGTTCGTTAAGCCGTATATATTATTATGTAAGTTTTAACACGAATTCGCACATTTCGTTATGTTCAGGTAATTTTCATTAAATATTTCGATAATTTCAAGTTACAGTTCAGAACGAGATGAAGATAGCTGTTTCTTCGGTGGCGTCACGTACTGGACGTTAGCATTGTTGATGCACTCTAACTAGGTTTCACCGGAAGAGTCGAAGTTTCAGCGTAAGTTTGTTTTCATATTATTTTAGGATTTACGTTTTATTTTTAGGCATTTTTATAATTAAAAACATAATATAACGTAATGTTGTAGTAGAAGCTGGAAACTGTAGTACTTATATTCCATAATTAATAATCCAATTAATGTAATTTTTTGAATTTTTAAAATTTTAATGTAACATTTATTATGCCTACACAAAATACTTACCTACCAAAATTGAATTTTTCACAAAATTCGTTGTTTTAACGATAAATGACAAATTTAGTTCAATATTATGGTGAAAGTATTTAATACAAACAAAAAATTAATGTTTGAAAATACAATTTCCTATATTATTATTTACTAAATACAAAGAAACTTAAAAATAAAACTAGGATCATTACATACAGTTTACAGAGTACCTATAAATTATATTATGCATGGAACACGAAGGTTTATTTTGACTACCTACCTACTTATCGTGTACGCATCAAACACAAAAAAGAAATAATAACAAAAAAATTTAAAAATTAAATACACATCATAGTAAAATCAAAATATTCATCGCTCCGCTCAGAATCTAAAATATAAATTATAGGTATCCGATACAATTAAATTAACATAATATTAAATAATAATTAATAATTTTGTGATCAGCAGTATCTATTCGTAGAAAATGTTAGACTTGGAATTTTACAAATCTAGTTGGTATCATGGTAGGTACTGTAAATTTAATGTACTTAGGTACTGTATATCTTTATGTTAACTCTAAAATCCAGGAATCATATTTTCATTTAATGATTTTTAAAATACAATATTATGCTTTTACAAAAATATGCTTGTACTTCTGATATATATTCACCATATTAATAAATAATTAAATTAAGAAACGAAAATAATAATTAAAATATATCATATTTAATATTATTATAATTGAAATTCAAAATTATAAACTATTTTGATTTTTGTCATAATATACCTACAATTTCAACGAACAAATATTGTTCCTTAATACGGAACTCTTTGACAT